ATAGTACTTTTACCTGTCATATAATATTTTATTTAATGCATACACAATTAAAATCATTTCACAAAAATTTTAACACAAGCGATGATAGTCAATAAAAAAGTATATTAAATCATATAAGAAGTAGGTTTAATATTACAATATACAATGCATCTGAAATACTTCAAAGTTATATAACAATAACCCTATGTTAACAAATTTCTATTTCCAATGCTGCTCAAATGTTTATAAAGAAAAGTATTAAGTAAAAGTATTTGTACTAATTGCTTAATTATAACAATATTGTATAATTATATAATTAAGCGAAATTTGACAACAGAGAGAAGTACACAATATTTAGGAGATTTTACATAGAGAAAAAATAATTAGAGTTTTAATAGAATAATATATATACGTATAATATTCATTCAACAATAGCAATTATAAAAAACTATCTAGTCTCAATAAAAAAATATATTCTTTCATATTGACAACTATATATAAAAAGGCACCATAGAAATTACTAAAGAGTTTATATTCCTCCAACCGAAGGACCATATTTTTATTCCATATTGAGAAGCAAAAATACTCAATACCTGATACGAAAAAAAAAACAATAATTAGTATCAACTTAAAATACAGATTTAAAATTTGTCACGAGACAAAACAAAAAATTTACAGTTGAAAGAGTCATTAACATTGAAAGTTTGTTATTTCATTTTAACTTTTTATTTAATTAGTTTAGTTTTCGTTTTTCCTTCTAAATAAATTACATAATCAATTCTTAACATATAAAGAATATTTTAAATGAAGCTTTGTTAATAGTAAAAATATGAAATTGCTTTTGTAGCTATTTAAAATAAATGACATTTAATAACTGCTAAATATTACAGCAAATTTTGAATAGGTATAAACAACATATGTCAATAATTTAACATCAAAAACAGCATTTTTTTTTTTACTGTTAACTTTAATTTCCTTTTTATTTAGCAAAAGAAAGGAAGCACTTTTTTTTCAATAAAATATGTAAGGTAGTATTTTTAGATAGCTGCCTTCAGCTAAAAATATTCCACAACCTCCATTACCTTAAATATATTTATTATCTTTCCATCAACTTATTTTTCTGATAAATTATGTCAAATTATACTTTTAAATAACTACCTTTAACTAAAACTATCCTACATCACCTTAAATATTCTAAAATATGCAACATTTAGAAAAAAAACTATAATTTTACAGGAAATCAAAAAATATTTGCCTAAAACATGCATTTTGCAATAGAATATTGATTTTCTCAGTTAAAATTCATTTAAAGCTATCAAAATCTTGCAACATTATAAATAATAAATTGATTTTAAATAGAACAGCTTTCTAAAATTGTTAATTCAAGATTAACAAGAGATATGAAACTGAAAACGTAATATTACCTAAGAATATTCATTGTTTAATGCCCTTCCAATCAGCATACGTCTTATTTCACTAGTTCCAGCACCAATTTCATATAATTTTGCATCTCTCAAATACCTCCCAGTAGGATAATCATTAACATAGCCATTTCCTCCTAAAGGACAAAATTAATAATTTAAAAATCTTCAATTTATATAATATTAAATCTACCTTTAAAAATTTTATTCTTCAGTTTGGCCTAGAAATGAATTACAAGATTTTTTAAAAAAAAATCTTTAATTACATCAGATAATATCAATCTAATTAACCTTGATTTTAATATAATTTAAAATCATGTCATTTTGCAAAAGAATTCATTTTTATTAGACATAGTCTTATATTAAATAATACAAATGAAAAAATTATAGTATTTTTTGTAGCTTTAAATATAAATTCAAAATTTGAGACAGAAAGTAAAAATTTACTTATAATTTATAATATTATTTAATTTATGTATTTGCAAAAAATGCATAATAAAGTGGAAAATGGTGCATAATAGAATACTTTTGAGCATTACAAAAAAAAAATTTTAAAAATTTAAAACTAATTTTTTTTAAAAAATGTTAATAATTTAGAATATACTTCAATGATTTGAGTTCACCAATATTTTTGTTCTCAAAGCGCAAGATTTTTTTATTACAGTTTAATTTTCAAAGGTCTATACACATTAATTAGCTAGTAAGATAAGAGTTTGCTTCGTCATAGATGATTTAAGTATTCCATGACCAAAATGCTACCATTTTCTACAAAATAATATAGTAGGTAGATACTTTATTTACGCCATACTAGAGCTGCACAAAGAACTAATGGCAACGGTCTAGGAAGCATCCGCAAGTAGGATTCGAAGACATACCATCACAATTTTGATCCCCAATAAAAGGGATTTTAAAGGAAAAAATAATATACAAAGTTGAAAAAAGAGTTAACTATATTTTTAACTTAAAACAAAAAACTTTTTTTTTTTTAAATTTTATGTAAAAAGACATTTTTACCATTAAATCAGCATGCAAGAATTGATAAAAAATTGACCTTTATCTTTATGATTTAAAATTAATCAATCACTAACATCAGTTGCTCTTAGGCATTAAATTTCTGTTAAAGTAAAGCTCAGATGCTCTTTTCTAGATTTTCAAGAACCTCTAAAGAATCTAGAGGTTCAAAACTATTGATTTTAGCCATAAAATCAATTTGATTTCTATCCTTTATGTAAACTGTATAAAAAAAAACTGTAAACAAAAATTAAAAAGAAACAATCTTACCAAGACACTGAATTGCATCTAAGGCAACTTGTGTAGCTTTTTCTGCACAGTATAAAATGACCCCAGCACAATCCTTAAAAGAATTTTTTTTTTTAAAAAATACAATCAGATAAAATGTTTGTTCCATTTTTATCAGAATTAACTAAACTAAACATTTCAATAGCTGCTTAATTATTTTGGCATCAATTTGGTCTTTGTTATTGTTCCCAGAATTGTTTATTATTGTCTGTTATGACAGAAACATTTTATAGCGCAAGTGAAAATCGCTACTTTAATAGTGCTCCTAAAAATTTTTAACAGTTTGAGACTTAGAATCTTCTTTGTGAGTTGTCAACATATTTAGTTACTTATTTTCGTTTAAATTAAAANTCATTTGTGAAAGCTTCAGAAGCAATCACCCAAATATCTGAAATCTCAATGCAATTCCAGATTAACCCATATACGTGTGTTAAAATCGCTCATTTATTGGATTAGAAAGGCTTTATCAGTTATTATTATATGGATAATAATGGTTTTATGATTTTTAAAAATCATTTTATTGGATAGTAATAGTTTTACTGGTTAAAGAAAGCATTTTATTTTTAATTTTCAGAACTTAAAACTTTTCGCACATAAAAATTAAACATTAATTAAAAATTTTAAAAAAAGATGTCTAGTGTCAAAGCTCTTTTACAAATGATAAATTAATAATTTCAATTATAATAGATTTTTACTGGCTCTGAAAATTAAATTCTGCATAATATCTCAAAGTTCTCAATCAATTTTAACTACATCTTCTTTGGTAAACAATAACTTAAATACAAAGGGACTATATTAGATTAAATTCTCAGTATTATGAAACTAATTCAATAGAACAGCTAATTGGGTAAACAATGCCTTCCGTAACACTTCATTTTTACAGGGAATTATTCTCAGTAAAAGCATATTTCAGAAGGTGGTAAATGGTTTTTCTGAATGAAATCAGCTCTTCAATAGAAAAAGTTGAAGTAGTAGTGCTTTTTTTAAATGATATACCTCATTGAACTCGTGATCTGCAAACTGACCTTACCACAGAATTATACATTTTATCATGCAATAAAAATGATATAAAATAATCAAAAGACAAATCTAAGCAAAACAGACTTAATTCAGAAAAGCACCATTAAAATTAAAGGTCTTTTTATTTCCTAATGTATAGTGTTAACTTATACTAACAGTGTTCCATTCTAACTATGTTGTTCCAGAATAAATTATTAAGCATTAAAATTAAAATATGTTTCGATATTATTATATTAATTGCATAAACAAATAAGCATAATTAAAACAAAAATATAGAACAGTTAATTTGCTTTTATGAAGAATGTTTACTTTTAACCTTTAATTCCTGCCTAACTCATAGCTCAGTTTGTTTCAGGTTTTTGTTGTCAACAGAAGAAAAGAAATTTCAGCAGTTTTTGACATTAAACACATTTTTTTTTTCATAATATAAATATTCTTAATGCATTCTCAAAAAGCTGCTATTTTGCTATGAAAACTAACAATTATTTGCTATGAAAGTAAACATTTCAATTGTTTTACAGAAATCTATGTCGCAATAATTTCTCATACCAATTGTTATGTTTTAGGTTTCTAAAAGCTGTGTATTTTATTACCTTTAAACAAAAACATTTCATTTTCAAATAAAAATTTGTGTAGAGTTTCCTCAAAAACAAATTAGCTTTTTTTTAAATGAGCTCTTTTTATATAAAAAAATTAGAAGGACATCATTTTGCAATGAGTATAATTTTTCATCACCCTAAAATACAAATGCTTAACAAGATTTGTAATAAATGTTTAAACATTATAAAAAATAAAATTAATTAATTAACAGTTTATATAAATTACCTTTGAGCTTACATGTCCATTATCAGTGGCTCGAGCAGTATTATATAAATAGGATCGGCAAGCATTTAATGTAGTATACATATCAGCCAGTTTTCCCTGAATTAGCTGCAAAAAATTTCAAAATTTAGAAAATATATGATAAACTTAAATAATATAAATATATACAGAACAAGATATACTCTCAGCGGAAACTGAGAATTTTAAATTAAAATTTTAAAACCGTTCTATAAAAAATTTATTAGACTGTAGCAATATAACTCATATCAACTTTTCTTGCAATATACAGTTCTTGCACTTAAAATTATGCAAATATTAAAATAAATAACTCATTTATATCTATTATTAATTAAATTTTTTTAAAAAAAACTTTTCATATTTTACAGATTCCTTTTTTGTTTTATTCAACACTGTTAAAACTGCATATTAACTTAAATTAAATCCTTTATTAGAAATTGTAACTTAATTTGGACCTAAGTCTAAATTAAAATCACTTATAAGAGCCCCTAATTCCAATGACAAATGCAACATTTACTTTATTTAAGCTTAAAACCATTAAGTAATTACGATTTCATTAAAAAAAATTAATTTTCAATAGACTTTTCTTGATCTTCTCAATACTGTAAAATATGGAACTTTTCAGATTTCATTAGTTATTACCCCAAATGTTTATGCAATTTGAAAAAACACAAAGTATAAATGAAAAGAATGATAATTACATGTGAGCATAATTCATTCAATGAATAAAAATTAAAAAATTACTAAGAATGAAATATTATAATAAAAATACCCATAAAAATTGAATAAATAAATATATAAAAACAATTTTATGATCATTCCAAAGAACTTGGGATAATAGCTCTGCAATGGATTAATAAAGTACAAAATCATTTACCTCAGAACTTATCTAGGATAAAAATAAAGAGAAAAAACTTGAAGTCAGCAATCTTGTTTTAAAATTAGATATTTCAATAGATAAAATTTTAAAAAAATTGAAGCAACAATGCAGTGCACAAAATATAAAACAGAAACTTTGATTCATTGATACCTAACTTTTGATTAAATTATATGATTTTCACCAATAAAGATGGAATCATAATGGATTAAGGTTCCAATTTTAAACATACCAATTTGTTTATACTGATGATATTTGCAGCTATAAATGAGACATAAAATCTTACTTTCCCTAAGTAAACTAAACACTTTCGTTTAACTATTTAAATTTTTGACAGTCAAAATAAGGGAGGCAGTTTCAGTCAGTAAAATATGGTTCCAATATTTGAATCAGGAGAGTGATGGAAAATTCAAGCTTCATAATGTTAATTAGACTTTATGGATATTTCATCTTTTCACTTAAATTATTTGAGGAAACCAACATTTTTTGCAAACAATTATAATACATATATAATATAATACATAATAATTATAATACATATTTTGCAAACAATTATAATACAATTATAATACATATTATATTTAAAGCTTCCACTGAAAAAAACTTTTTTATAATAATAAATTTTTATTTTAAAGAATAAATCATAATTATAAGATATATAATAATAATAACAATTCCATAATCATAGTAACAATAATAATAATAAATTGAGAGTGTTTTGAAACATAAAGAATGTAAATTCTTAAATTTTATTTTATTTTAAAAATCATTAAACCTCAACCTAATTTTCCTAAATAATTTTAAACTAAATTATTTTATACAGAATAAGTTGAATAGTTCTTGAAAAAAATTTCAAAACTTAACTTTTTCTTAAATATTATTACTCAGAAACTATACAGCCGATTTCATATAAACTTTGTGCTTCATTATTGAAATTTGCAACATTTAAAATAAGGTAAAAATTTGTAATTAACTTTTCAATTCATTCCATCTTTGTAAAATTAATTAATTAAAAAATAATAAGTAATTTTAAAAAATTATATTTTGCATGAAGTTATCTACAAAAAAAAATGAATTTTACAATTGTGTGTAAATTTTTTTTGATTATTTTAAATGATTCTAATGACAAAGCAGAATACATACTGCAAAATTTCAACCACTTTCCCAACTAAATTCCAATTTTTTAAAAATATAAATGCATATTTTTTGTTTCACATCACAATTTATGTCTCTAAAAATAAATCAGTCACTAATATAAACAAAATATCAACTACACTAAAATTAAAGGAAAGCTAATATTTTTCCTTACTTATAAAATACAAATCCCATGGCTTCAAGTGGCAAAACATGGTTTTGGA